AACCTGTCAGAAACTATTTGCTTTTGCCTTCAGTTTCTTTCCTAAGAGTTATTTGCATTGTTCATTATAGTGCCACAGTTTTGTGGGCAAAGAATGAAAAGAGGCCCTAACTTCTGAGGACATTGATGTAAATCACTATATAGATGATACATCATTCACTGAGCTAAATGAGGTCCCAATGGCAGAGACCCTGGATTGGATGGTGGCTCATATGAGACACAAGGAGTGGAAGATCATTCTTTAAAAAATTTAGGGTCCAGCCCTCTCAATTAAGTCTGAGGGAAACACATCAGAGGGAAAGAACTTTTTGTGTCAATGAATGTGTCCACCTTTGAAAAATCAATATGGCATAAACCCATGCAATCTGAAATCTGCCTGACTGGTAAATTGATTACATTGACCTATTCACCCCATCTCAGGGCAAGAAATTTGCCCTTACTGAGTTGATACTCACTCAGGATATAGTAATGAAGTGACTTCATGGCAGCTAGGTAGCATAGTAGCTAGGAGATGTAGAGGATATAACGCAAGATCAGGGGTCAAGAATATAAGAATTCAGGGGCAGCTGGGTGGCGCAGTAAATAGAGCTCTGGCTTTGGAGTCAGGAGGACCTGAGTTCAAATCCGGCCTCAGACATATAACACTTACTAGCTGTGTGACCCTGGGTGAGTCACTTAAGCCCAATTGCCTCACCAAAAAAAAAAAAAAAAGCAAAACCAGGAATATAAGAATTCAAATCCTGCCTCAGACACTTACTAGTTGTATGTCTCTGGGCAAGTCACTTAGCTTCTTTGTACCTCATTTTCCTCATTTGTAAAATAGGGATAATAATATATGTAAAGCATCTCAGGGGCACTTAGGTGGTGGAGAAGATAAAGCTCTGGGTTTGGAATCAGGAAAATCCATCTTCATGAGTTCAAATTTGGCCTCAGACACTTATGAGCTGTGTGGCCCTAAGCAAGTCATTTAATCTTGTTTGCCTCAGTTTCCTCATCTATAAAATAAGCTGGAGAAGCAAATGGCAAACCATTTCAGTATCTTTGCCAAGAAAACCCTAAATGGGGTCACCAAGAGTTGGACACAACTGAAACGATTCAACAACAAAGCATCTTGTGAAACTTAAAGCAGTAAATATACATATGTGTACATGTGGATAAACATGTTTTTATTATTATTATTATGCTAGCTATTATGGTCACTACAATCAAAACTGTGACAACATATGGGATATTTTATACTATTTCATCTGTTCAGGACGCTCATTTTACCTCAAAGAAAGTCTGAGATTGGGCCCACCACCATCATATTTGCCTGGTTTTCCCATCAATCCTCCCATTTTACATGTCTATTATTTGTACTAAGCTCCTCCTTTAGGATTATTTATGCTACAACTGTTTTAAGATTACTTTAGTAGTGGAAGGTTCACCTAGAAAATTTGGGGAAAGTTGCCAATAAGGGGTGGGTTACAGTAGGAGCAACACTTGTTTTCTTTGGGTAGGTCTGGTTTCCCATTAATAAGACTGGGAGGCTGCTCTCAGGATCATCATTGGTTTGGCTTCCTGACTGCTTGAGGCATAAAAGACCCAGTCTGTGGGGAATTGGTGTCAGATGTTTTAGCAGAATTCCCTCTGCCTTGCAGAGAATGCATTTCTGAGTGAGAGTGGACAGTTGCTGTGGTGACTACTGAGGCAGAGAGAAATAGTATTTTTCTACGCCAATATCCTTTTTATCTATCATATTCTTTTAATCTCTCGTCAGTAAAGTTACCTTAATTATATTATATGGTGAATGTGAAGGGAGAGGGATATAACCATTTTATTTCAATTGCTAGCTTTTTAACCTTAGGAATTGTATCTTTTTTTACCCTTTGCTACAGGTGAAGTTATTTTTATTGCGTTTTATGATCCATGAGTTTTTTATTGCATTCTGACCTGAATCACTGAGGTGGCCTGAGTTAGATGCGGCCCAGAATATAAGGTAATCTCAGAGAAAACACTGCCCATAAACCTCTTTTCTCTTCCTAGAATGCTAGATTCTGGCATGATACATTCTGGGAAATAGTCTTTGCCTCCCTGTGCCTAAATAGGAGGCAGGGGTTCAAGAATGACATTGTCTTCGAACTCTCCTCAACCATGTCATCAGCACATCCAGCTGTCCTGTGCTTCTCCATCCATCAAGAACACTGTTTAAGCACTTACTATATACCAGGCATTGTGTTAAGTGCTGGGAATACAAGAAAAGCAAAAACATAGACCCTGCCTTCTAGGAGCTCACATTCTAATGGAGAAGACCACGTGCAAACAAGCAGCTATATACCTAAGAGATGGGCTCAGAGAGAAGGCGTTAGCAGTTGGAAGGACCAGGAAAGTCCTCTTGCAGATAGTAGGATTTGAGCTGAATCTTCAGGGAAGCCAGGAAGTAGAAAGGAGTAGGGAAACCATTCCAGGAATGTGGGACATGGAATCTAAAAATGGATGAATATGCAGGAAAGCAAATGGACTGGATAGAATATATAGAAGGAAGCGAGGTATATAAGAAGACTGGAAAGTGAGAAGAAGCCAGGTTTTGAAGGTCTTTCTTTTTATATTTGATCATAAGGTAATAGAGAAACTGGAATTTACTGAATAAGGGAAGACATGCTCAGACCTGTGCTTTATGAAGATCATTTTTGCAGCTGAGTGGAGGATGAACTAGAGTAGGGAGGGATTGAAGGCAGGTAGACCAACCAGAAGGCTATTACAACAGATAAAGTGTAAGATAATAAAAGCCTGCATTAAGGTAGTGGATGTGTGAGAGGTCAGAGTGGGGTGTATATGAGAGCTGTTGTGAAGGTAAAAATGATAGGACTAGACAACAGATTATTTACATGGGTAAATGTGAGAAAGGAATTGGAGATGATTCTGAGGTAAGAGGGAGGTACCCTTGACAGTAAGAGTTTGGAAGAAAGGAGAATTTTGGGAAAAGATAATGAGCTCAGTTTTGAACATGTTGAATTTGAGATATCTACAGAACATCCAATTAAAGGTGTCTAATGGGTAGTTGGTGACACAAGACTGGAAATCAGAAGAGAGGTTAAGGCTAAATAAAGAGCTCTGAAAAGCATATGCATAGAAATGATAATGAACCCATAAAAGCTGATGAGATCACCAAGTGAAATAGGAGAGGGGAAGAAGAGAAGAGGTCCAAGAATAGCTTCTTGGGAGGTGGGGGGAGGAGGTGTTCATGGTTAGTGGGTGTGATCTAGAGGAAGTTTCAGCAAAGGATGCTGATAAGGAATGGTCTGACAGGTAAGAGGAGAACCAGGAGAGAGAAGTGTCACAAAAATCTGGAAAAGATTGAGTATTCAAGAAAAGATGCATGCTCAACAGTGTCAAAGGCTACAAAGATGTCAAGAAGGATGAAGACTAAATGATGTGGTTGGACTACAGAGGGTTTTGAAGATGGTGAGAGGAGAGGAAGTAAAGAAACTAACTAGGAGTTTAGCCAACAGGGAGGAAAGAAATAAGGCAATGGCTAGCAAGAATAGTTGGACCAAGTGAAGATTTTGTTTTTAAGGATAGGAAGATGTGGACTTGTTTGTAGGCAGCAAGGAAGTAGGCCAGTAGATGTGGAGATTGAAGATAAATGAGACAGTAAGTATAACAGTGTGGGCAATCTGCTGGAAAAGATGGGATAGAATGGAATCATGTGTGCATGCATTAGAGTTTGGCTTGGCAAGAAGAAATGTCACTACTTCATATGAGACAGGGATGAAGAAGGAGATTGTAGGGGAAGAGATGACTCTTGGAAAATAGGCATAATTTATTTTGGTAAGTATGAGAAAAGGTCTTCAATGGAGAGGTCAGGGAGAGGGGTTCCATGGTAGGCTGAAGGAGAGATGAAAATGCTTACAACCATGTATATAGGATACTTCACCACTACCCCATCTAGGTCCACCTCTAAGACTGAGAAAATCCATTCCCATGAGTTCTTCTTATGGGCTGTGGGTTCAAATATATAATTTTCATTTATTTCTACTGTAAGAGAATCACTAAAGACTCCTTGGGGGATGAAGGGGAAAACCTCTCTAACCCACTTCTCAGCACTCTACAAAAAATGCAAAAGGAAAAATCTGAAAAGGAGCTCAAAAAAGACAAAGAATGTGTTGTTAACATTTTTTAAAAACCAGAGGCGACTCCTCCCACAAAAATCTGATCTCCTCCACAAGAGTTCTAGCCACATAAAACTTGGAGTTATCCATTCACTGAAACTTAACCATAAGTTGCCTTTTACCTTTGTAACAAGATTTCAATAGAATTTACACACTTTATAGAAAGGGAGGTATTTACATTCAAAGATGTACAATCAAAATTAGTTTCTAAGCAAAATCTAGCCTCCAAGGAAGTTTATCAAATTGGTAAAGGAACTTGTCTAATCATACTTCCCTTTCTTCCCCAACCTTTACATCTCAATATCTAAAAGAAGAATATAACAAGTAATTTGGGGAAAATCGTAGCTCTTATTAGTAGCCAAAAAAAGGAACCAGGATATTTCAATAAATACTAACCTATATGTTGACTTTTCTATTAAGGATTTCTGTGAAATTGGAAATCAGTATAAGAAGTATCAGTATATGTATGCATTAAGGATCTCCTTGATGAAGGTATGAGTAGGTAATTGTCATCTGTGAGAAATGATTCATTTGGACCCCTACTCTATTCCAATCAGTATTAATAAGTCTGATATTTTATATAAATCATATAGGGATGATTGCCCAGCCCTCTCTCACTTAAATCCAATTCACTTGCAAGTCACAGGATCACCTTCCTGATGTCCTGATCTTCTTTGAGAATAAAGGACGAACAACAGTCTGTGAATAGTACAAGCTACCCCACTGGGGACCCACCTGGCAACTTCCAGTTGAGTAATGCCACTCCTTCCTTTTTCTTTTCCTTTTTTTTCCCCTTCCTTACCTTTCCTCCTTCCTCTCCCTCTGTCCACCTAGATTATAATACCCTTACCTGAGGGTGCTTTGCCCAAAAGAATGTAAATTTTGATCCCTGAAACTTCAGAAGATATCTTGGGATTTGTGGACTAGATTTCTTTCTTAAGGACCATGCCTTAAACTCAAATCACTCTGGCTCTTATTAGCCAAAAATAGGCCACACCCCACTTGGTCATTGTTTGGGGCCTGATTGGCCCAAAGTAAATCTAAATAGCAACTGTTCCTATTTCCGCCAGAAACCCTGAGGGTCTTCTCCTCCTAGATTGTTGGTTGTTTTGGGGGGTTTTTTTTGACTAGGTAGAAGAAGCCATTGTTTGCTTCATTTCTTACCTTGCCTTAGTCACTGAATGGGTGTTATATCAGTCAAACTGAGAGCTGGGAAAGACCTTAGCTTAAAAAGGCTAAGGTCTTCCACTGCATCCAGGGCCATCTCCGGTAGTCCTAATCCATATCTTGCCACTGGGATCAGATGGCTCCAGAAGAGAAAGTGAGGCTGGTGACTTTGCAGAGTCTTGCCTCACTTAAATCCAATTCACTTTCAAATCATGGTATTACCTTCCTGACACCATGGTCCTCTTCAAGAAAGAAAGACAAAAAAAAAAAAACACAACAAAAAATAGGAATAATTAGACAAGTTGTTATAGCAGGCCTTTATAATGGGCCTCAAACTTTAATGTAATATTCACTACTTGCTTACCAGTTATGAAACTCACTTGTGCAACCACAAGAATGCTGACAAAGATATCTCCATTCTGTTTTACTCAAATTCCAAGTCCAAACACAGCATGGATGGGATGCCTTGATTCTGTGGAAAGTCCTCCAACTTATTTTTGTACCTCTGGACCACTCTTTCTTGTCCAACATGAGCAGATGACCATCTTATGACCACTTAGTAAATGAAGATGCCCTGTACTTCACCCAACCTGATGATATGTCATTTTTGGTCTGTAAGAGCAAGGCATATCAACCAATGAGATTCTGTATTTTACCATGCCCCTTTTGTATACCTGGGTATCAAACCCTATAAAAACAAGGTCCTGGGGACCAGAGGCATTTCAGATCATGAGGAAGATCTGGGGTCCACTTCATCAGAGGGGACCATGGACCTTTTAATAAAGTGCCATTGACTCAGAGCTCTGCCTTGGTTTCTTTCATTGTAGGTTGGACAATTGTAAACTCCACACAGCCTTTTTCAAATTTTTTTTTTGTAAAATAAACTGCATTTTTACTATCAATTAATTAATTAAAGGCATAGAGAATAGGTGATCTCACTGCATTTATTATTTATTGACTATATATAAAAAAAGAATTGTATTTGGTAGAAGAAACTGCAAGATTCTCCTCCAATTACATATTTCACTTGCACAATTTAAAATTATATATAAATCCTTGAAAGATATAACCTGTCACTTTCTCAGTTTTGGACAAATCTAGTAGAAAGATAGACAAAATAGAAAATTTAACAAAATGTCACTGAAACTAGAGCTAAAAGAATTATGGCATTTTCTAAAGGGAACTGCTAAAGAATATATGTATTCTCAGCACCATGTGGAACTATTTACAAAAATTTACCAAGTGGCAGGACATAGAGATATCACAAATAAATGTAAAAAGGCAGAAATAGTAAATGCATCCTTTATAGATTGTTAACACAATAAAAATAGTAATCAGTTCATGGAGCCCAAGTAAAAGACAGAAACAAATGAAATCCTAAATAACGAGTATGTCAAAAAAAAAACAACTCATAGGAGCAAGTAATAATTTGGTGAAAAAAAATTATAATGATGAAACAACAAACCACAATTTCTGGGGTGCAGCTAAAGTAGTCCTTAAAAACACATTGGTGGGGGCAGAGCCAAGATGGTGGAGTAAAAGCAGTGACTTGCTTGAGCTCTCCCCCAAATCCTTCCAAATACCTGTAAAAAATGGCTGTAAACAAATTCCAAAGCAGCAGAATCCACAAAAAGACAGAGTGAAACAAATTTCCAGCCCAAGACAGCCTGAATGGTTAATCAGGAAGGTATATTGCACTAGGTAGGGAGAGGAGCGCAGTTCAGCATGGGTGTGCAGGCAAAACAGGTCTCAGTGAGCCTGGAGCAGACCTCAGAGGACTAAATCATGGGAAGCTGTGGTGGTTTCCAGACTTCTCAAACCACAAATGCCAAAGACAACTTAGAAGGTCAGTAGGAAAAGTCTGTGACTATGGTGAGAGAGAAGTGAGGTCCCAGTCCTACTACCCAAGCTTTGCCCTGGGGCAGCAGCTGCCTCCAGCGCTTCTGGCCCACAGACTGAGGGGGAATCGAGTGGCTGATCAGAGGGAGATTGCAGGGATCTCTCTGCTGTTGCAGGATTCTCTTGCTTTGCCTGTACTTGGTTCTGGGTCACAGTTCTGGGTGGCGATCCTGGGGCAAGGAGGAGCACTGGCATGGTGGAGCTTGTAGTGGCTGTGAAGTGGAAACCTCACGGTTCCAAGGCAGAAAAGAGTGCTTGTGGTCACTCATAGACCAGAGCACAGGCCAGAAAAGGAGTAAACACTTCACCCCTTATCATACCACCTTGGAAGAACTGAAAATTTACAGGTCCCTAGAAGTATTTCTGAAAGCAACTGCACAAAGCCCCTGAAGCTTGGGACAGTACATTCTCCACACTGGAAGCAGACCCCGACCTTAACAAAGAGTTTAAAACTCCAGTAACTGACTGGGATCATGAACAAACAAAGGTGCAAAAACAGTCAGACCACAGAATCTTTCTTTGGTAACAAAGAAGATCAAAACATACACTCAAAAGAAGACAACAAAGCCAAAGCTCCCACATCCAAAGCCTCTAAGAAAAATATGAATCAGTCCCAGGCCACGGAAGACCTCAAAAAAGATTTTGAGAAGCAAGTAAGAGAAGTAGAGGAAAAACTGGGAAGAGAAATGAGAGAGGCAAGAAAATATGAAAAACAAGTCAACAGCTTGCTAAAGGAGACACAAAAAAATACTGAAGAAAATAACACCTTAAAAAAAAGCCTAAGGGGCAGCTAGGTGGCACAGTGGATAGAGCACTGGCTCTGAAGTCAAGAGGACCTGAGTTCAAATCCGGCCTCAGACCAAACACTTTACACTTACTAGCTATGTGACCCTGGGCAAGTCACTTAACCTCAATTGCCTAAAAAATTTTTTTTTAAATTAGCCTAACCCAAATGGCAAAAGAGGTCCAAAAAGCCAATGAGGAGAAGAATGCCCCAAAAAGAAAAATTGGCCAAATGGAAAAGGAAGTCCAAAAGCTTACTGAAGAAAATACTTCCTTAAAAATTATAATGGAGCAATTAGAAGCTAGTGACTTTATGAAAAATTAAGACACTGTAAAACAAATCCAAAAGAATGAAAAAATAGAAAACAATGTGAAATATCTCATTGGAAAAATAACTAACCTGGAAAATAGATCCAGGAGAGAGAATTTAAAAATTATTGGACTATCTGAAAGCCATGATCAAAAAGAGAACCTAGACATCACCACAATTTCAAGAAATTATCAAGGAAAACTGCCCTGATATTTTAGAACGAAAGGGCAAGATAGAAATTGAAAGAATCTACCAATCACTTTCTGAAAAAGGAAAACTCCTAGGAATATTGTAGCCAAATTCCAGAGTTCCCAGATCAAGGAGAAAATATTGCAAGCAGCCAGAAAGAAACAATTCAAGCACTGTGGAAACACAATCAGGATAACACAAGATTTAGCAGCTTCTACATTAAAGGACCACAGCACATGGAATATAATATTCCAGAGGGCAAAGGAGATAGGATTACAACCGAGAATCACCTACCCAGTAAAACTGAGTATAATCTTTCAGGGGAAAAAACAGTTATTCAGTGAAATAGGGGACTTTCAAACATTCTTGATGAAAAGACCAGAGCTGAATAGTAAATTTGACTTTCAAATATAAGACTCAAGTGAAACATGAAGAGGTAAACAGGAAAGAGAAATCATAAGAGACTTATTAAGGTTGAACTGTTTACATTCCTGCATGGAAAGATGATATTTATAACTCATGAGACCTTTGTCAGTATTACAGTAGTTGGAAGGGGAAAAATTATATGTATGTAGATAGATAGATAGATAGATAGATAGATAGATAGATAGATAGACAGACAGATAGATAGATAGAGGGCACAGGGTGAGTTGAAGAAGAAGGGGTGATATCTAGAGAATCAAATTAAGGGGTGAGAGAGGATTATACTGGGAGAAGGAGAAAGGGAGAGGTAGAATGGGGTAAAAAGAAAAGGCTTTTACAGTGAAGGGGAAATGGGGGAAGGTGAAAAGGAATGAGTGAATCTCATTCTCACAGGATTTGGCTTAAGGAGGGAATAACATACACACTCAGTTGGGTGTGGAAATTTATCTTACCCTACTGGAAAATGGGGGGGGGGACAAGAGAGCAGGGAGATGATAGAGAGGAGGGCAGATTGGGGGAGGGGGTAATCAGAAACAAACACTTCTGAGGAGGGACAGGGTCAAATGAGAGAATAGAATAAATGGGGAGCAGAATAAGATGAAGGGAAATAGACTTGGTTTTTCACAACACGACTACTATGGAATTATTTTGTATGACCACACATATATAACCTGTATCAATTTGATTGTCTTTTCAATGACGGTGGGTGGGAAAGGAGGAAGGGAGAAAATTTGGAACCCAAAGTTTTAAAAACACATGTTTAAAAAAATTGTTTTCACGTGCACTGGGAAATAAGAAATACAGGCAACAGGGTATAGAAATCTATTCTGCCCTACAGGAAAATAGAAGGGGAAGGGGATAAGAGAAGGGGAGGAGAGATAGAAGAGAGGGTAGATTAGCGGAAGGGGTATTCAGAATGCATGACATCTTGGGGTGGAGGGAGGGATGAGATGGGGAGAAAATTGGAACTCAAAATCTTGTGGAAGTGAATGTTGAAAACTAAAAATAAATAAATGATATAAAAAACACACGTTAGCAAAATAGAAAAGATTAGTGAACTGAATATGCATTTTTAAAAATTAGAAAGTCAATAAAAACTTAAAATAAGCACAAAAGATAAAACATTAAACATTAAAGGAGAAATAAACTGGAAACAATCTATAGAAATGAACAATAAAGCTAAAAACTGTTTTTTTGAAAAGAATCTCAAAATTGATAAACTTTTAGTCAATCTGATTTTAAAAAAAAGAGGGCTGAAAATCAAATCAAGAAAATAGCAAATTAACAAGGTGAAACCACAGAAAAAAACCTGGAAGAAAATTTTTAAATCATCACAATCTACTATGTGTATACACACCCACAAAACTTGAGAACATAAAAAAAAAAGAGGACAACCTTCAAGAATATAAAATACCAGAACTAACAGCAAGCTGTAATGACAGAGAAAACATTGCTAACAACCCTCTAATTATCAGCATTAAGTGAAGGATAAAATAGGAAGCTATATTCAGGCAAAGAGCAGCTAGATGGCACAGTGGATGGGTGAGCCTAGAGTCAGGAAGACTCATCTTTGTGAGTTCAAATCTGGCTTCAGATAACTTACTAGCTGTATGACATAGGGCAAGTCGCTTAACCTTCTTTGCTTCCATTTCCTCATCTATAAAATGAGCTGGAGAAGGAAATGGCAAACCATTTCAGTGTCTTTACCAAGAAAACCCCAAATGGGGTCATGAAGAATCAGACGCAACTGAACAATGACAATAATATGGAGACAGCGAGGCAGGCAACGAGCATTTACTTATAAAGCGCTTACTTTGTGCTAGGCACTGTGCTCACACAATGTTAGCTGTGCACGTGCAATCCCACAGAAAGGTATTTAGTTTCTGTTGTCAGAAAGAAGAACCATCACAAAGTCCGAATCAAGGAGCGAATTCCCCATAGGTAATAAGGACTCCAGGTAATCTAGCTTGTGGATGACATTGTGTGGGTTGGATCAATTCCTGGACTGTGACAGAATATCCCAAATGAGATCCATCATCACTCAGTAGCATTCAGCTTAACTACTTCCACAGTAAAAATTAAAAGAATCGAGAATGTCGCCTTTTCCGGTTCCTGGCTTCCAAGACGACCAAGAAGGGCCGCTGCACCAACTGCGCCCGCTGCGTGCCCAAGGACGAGGCCATCAAGAAGTTCGTCATCTGCAACATCGCGGAAGCTGTGGCTGTCGGGGGCATCTCCAAGGGCCGCGTCTTCGACTCCTACGTGCTGCCCAAACTGTGTGTGAAACTGCATTACAGTGTGAGCTGCGCGATCCACAGCAAGGTAGCGAGGAATCGGTCCCGTGAGGCACGAAAGGATCGGACACCCCCATCCCGCTTCAGACCTGCTGGCGCTGCCCCCAGACCCCCTCCAAAGCCTATGTAAAGAGCTATCTGCCCATCAACATTCCTGAACTGATCACAGGAAAATAAAATGCTTGGTTATTAAAAAAAAAAAAAAGAATGTCTATTGTTCAGACTACATTTTACAGTTGGATGGACAACCTACAGACCTAGTATATATAAATATATAAATTATAATATATAAGTATATACCATATTACATAATTTATATTTGTTACATATGATAATTTTCTTTCACATAATTATTAATTGCTTCTGTAAGTTATTCTTTGATATATAAATTATATGTATTTATATTGACATCTTATATAGAAATAGCTAATGGGCTATGAGTTGTCTAGAACTAAATAGGAGAAAATTGGGTCAGACTGTCTTTAGGAAAGTGTGTAGTATTTTTAATGATTTCCACACCTCTCCCTTAAAAAATACTAACATTAGTATTCTTTTGTTGATATTGCATGATTGAGAGTCACAGAATCTCAGTCCCTAAAGAATTGCCTAAAATTGTAGGTCTCCTGAAGGATGATGGAGAAATACACATGGCATGCATGGACAAGCTACCACATATTACCAATAAAGAACTGAAGAGGGAAAGAGGAAGAAAGAATTTCATTAGAAACTGTTGGTTATGTTGGTGCATAAATGTTATTCATGCAATATCAAGAGATTTAGAAGAAGGCCCCCAGCATATTAGGCGGGTGGGGAAGGGAAGGAAATAAGTATTTAATAGCACCTACTGTGTGCCAGGCCCTGTCCTAAGTGTTCTACAAATATTATCTTATTGGAACCTGACATACCTCTGGTAGGTGTGTAGGGGGAGAAGAAAGAAAAAGAAAGAAAGAAAGAAAGAAAAGAAAGAAAGAAAGAAAGAAAGAAAGAAAGAAAGAAAGAAAGAAAGAAAGAAAGAAAGAAAGAAAGAAAGAAAGAAAGAAAGAAAGAAAGAAAGAAAGAAAGAAAGAAAGAAATCTACATGATCATTTTGTTGTATTTGGAAGGAATGACAAGTTGTACATGGTAAATTTGTACCTGGTAAGTTTCATGTGCAAAAATCTTTTTTATTATACTGTGTTACAGAAATGCTTATTTTGTTCCATGAATTTAAAATAAAATAAAATAAAATAAATAAATAAACAAACATAAATAATATAATAACCCTGGAAGGTAAGTACTATTTTTACCTCCATTTTATAATTGAGAAAACTGAGGCAGACAGAGGTTAAGTGACTGCCCAGGGTCCCATAGCTAGAAAGTATCTAAGGCCAAATTTGAACTCAGGTCTTTTTGACTCCAGGGCCAGTGCTCCAGCCAGTGCACTACATTACAAAAGGTCATGGAAAGCTAAGTCTGGGTCGTGATCCACATCAATGAAAAGAATAGTCTTGGTGTATAGAAGGGCAGACACGGAAACTGGAGCTTAACCACGTGAAGTGACTTGCCCAAAGTCAAGTTGCTGGAATGGGGTCAAGGCTGGGATTTGAACCAAAGTCTTCAGTCTCCTGATCCAGGCTTCTCTCCAGACTCCATTTGTGATAAAAGTCAGTCCAACCACTGAGGCATAACTTATGTTCATGCTCCATGAAGAAAAGGAAAAAAGGGAAGGGAACAGAACTAACTGTTCCACCGTTGGTGAACCAAGCTCTTGTGGCATTTGGCAGATGTCTGTGAGATGAATTGACAAACGAGATCATCTGCATTCAGATGCAGCCCATTGGGCCAGCCACCCCTTGATAAGGAGTCCTCATTTGGCTGGCAGGAACCTTCTGCAAATATGTAACCTCTTCACTAGAACTGTTCAAAGCTTTAAAAATTTTGTAAATATTCCTAAAACCTATTCTGAGTTTCCCACACAGATGGATGCTCCAGGGCATGTGTGTAAATATGTGTGATTGCAGATGACAGTCATGCCTAGATGAAATTGGCCAGATCCATCTGGCTCAAATTTGGAAAACTGTTTAGCACCATTAAACCAACTGAAGCAGCAACACGGTCAACAAAGAGGGCAATTAGTGATACAAATAGCAAGTTACATTTAATTCATGATAAGCATAATAGACAGACAAACAAACGAAAATCCTTTCAAACAGAGGCAGGCAGAGGCTTCGGAGGAAAGAACACCTGATGGAGTCAGCAGAGACCTGGTTTCTAACTTCTGGTTCCACTGCTTGCTAGCAACATGGCTCTGGATGAGCCCCTTGCCCTCTCCAAACCTCAGCCTTCTCACGTGTAAAATGGGCATAATAATTATGATCTTACCAATCCCTCATGGTTTGTTATGAGGGCTAACAAAAATGGAATTTGTGAAAGTGTTTTTAAAAATATTAACTGGGCCATGCAAAGGTGAAGTGTTTCAAATAGCGTTGTTAGACATCCAACACTGGAAAATCTTTCTCTGATTCTAGTGAAAGACGGAGATTATTCCACCCCTGGGCCACGGAGAGGGATGGGCTCTCCAGAACTGGGTTAAGGACTAGGTGGTTGTGGCTTTCTTCCAAGGTAGAAAATGTGAAGGACCACGACAGCACTTTTTTTCCTCTAAGGAAGAAGAAAGGGACAGAACCATTGATAAGATGGTAAAAGTCCAATGAGTGGGACCAGGCCCTAGCGGCAGAGGCCCTAGACTAGATGGTGGTTCAAATGAGAGACAATGAGGTGAGAAATCACCACCCTAGAAAATTCAAAATCCAATTCACTCAGTTAAGTTTCCTCTGTGTGAGTGGCTATAGATTATAGCTCTATCTCAAAAGATGCCTCAGGGACAGAGCAGGGAAATGGAGACTCAATCTTTGATGGAGAAGATTGTTGCTATGCCTTCCTGGAGACCAGTTTGCCTCCCCAGTCCCAGAAATCTAATGGGAAAAAAGGGGATAGATCTTAGCTGATGATTCCTGAGCTCTGGCCCAATCTAGAGGTGAGGGGGGAAGCCCTGGCCCTGGCCAAGTAAGCTGACTACTTTAGTGCCAACAATAATGCTCCTTCAGGGACCACCCACATCATGTTTGTCCTAGGGAAAGGGGGCAGTATACCTGCAAAGATACCTGAGGAACTATGAAGTTAAGAGGTGACCCTCTACCCCACAACCTAGGAAGCTCTTTCCACCCAAGATTTGGGGTAGTGCCCACATAAAGGGAGTACCCTCAGGTGAGCAAAAGCGAGGGAAGAGACATATCTTCCCAGGGTCACCCTTGTGTCCCTATTTTATGAGACCTATTCTTTCCCTTGAAATTTTACTTTCTCTGATTTCTCTCATTTGCCCCTGCCCAATGGAGGAAGGGTTGAGTTGTGATGGTGTGATGCGAACAATATCCTAATCTCTTGTTTCCATCCAATCTAGGCTAGTCTTTCCCTTAAAAGGTGCTGAAACCATCCTGAAGGCTTGATATATCTGGAAAATAACTGGCTGAGGTTATTGACCTTATATCTTGGTCTCCTGAGCATAAAACAGCCACAAGGGTCCTGGGACTGTCTGGTGCTTGGCTAGTGAACTGAAAGGCTGGCAGACCTTTGAATGAAATGAAAAATTCAGAAACATGGAAACTTCATCAGCACTTACTTAGGCAGTGCCTGGCATAGTAGGCACTTAAAAAATGTTTATTGATTGGATGTTTACTGACCTGAATGAATAAACTTGGGGTATCCTCAGAGCATATCCTTGTTCAATATCCTTCAAATCAAATGATCAAATAACATCATATTTGTAAAGCGCTTAGCACAATGCCTGACACACAGGATGTGCTTATTAAATGTTTATTCCTTCCTTCTCCTGTTACACCTAAATTAATCTCCATTTTCTGTTGAACAACCTAAAAATGTTTCATTTTGAGCAGATCTACTGGTCTAAGGCAGGCCAACCAGAGAACAGGTGAACCCTTAGTAAGCTGAGACAGGGGAATATCAGGAGAGAGGGCCGGGGATGACCCAAGATAGGGGATGATGGTCTTGGTTACTTTCAAGCAAAGTCCACTCTGAGCGAGGGGTGTGGGTATTTCAGGTAAGATAAGGCCAGAGGAAGCAGAAATGGGTCTTTCCCTGATGATGGAAAACCACTGTCCTGGGGAATGCCTTTGCTATTCCCATGTCCTGGGTACCTTTTCTTTCCCTTGATGATTCTAGGAAGATGGTGGAGTAGGTCAGAATTTCCAGGCTCTCCAGATTTCTTCCACAAACAGAAAATCACCATGAAATGAATGTAGAGCAGGAAAAACAAAGGGGGTAAAAGCAGTTGTCCTCCTAAAACAATATGAGAGGACTTCAGAAAAGACAGTAACTTGAGGGGAGGTTCTGCTACCTTCTGAATCTTTCTGGACTATCAGAGTTTAGGGGCAGGGGTGAGAAGTTGGAAGGAAGATATCTAGGAAGACTAATCCCTACTCAAGGCAGCTAGGTGGATCAGTGAATAGAGCTCTGGGACTGGAGTCAAGAAGACCTGAGTTCAAATCCAACCTCAGACATTCACTAGCTGTGTGATCCTGGAAAAGTTACTTAAACTCTGTTTGCCTTAATCCACTGGAGAAGGAAATGGCAAACCACTCCAGTATCTTTGCCAACAAAACCCCATATAGGGTCACAAAGAGTCGGACACAACTGAATAACAACAATCCCTACTCAGCTGCTCATTCTGAGTCATAAGACCTGGGACCAATATTCTAGAAGGGCCAGTGCTGATGAGGGGCTGGACTAAATGATTCTTGAGGTCTGTCATAGGTCTAACATAACACTTTGAGAGTGAGGGTGAGGGAGGGAAGGGTAATCTTAATTCTTCTTGCAGTACCCTTTCCAAAACCTATATGTTATAGGAGTTACAATTCCACCCCCATAGATCAGCAATCAATCTCGATCACCAAATGGGTAAATAAAAAATCAAGCTGACCAGCAAATATGTAAATAATAAATATTCCTGGGTCACTATCCACAGGGGATAGTATTGCAGGGTCCCTGTCTCCATCCATGGATGGTGGTATTTACCTTCCAATACCAATTTAGGGTGCCTTCCATGAAAACTCTCTCAGGTACAATTTATGCCAC